AAATCAAAACCATCAACCTTTATATACAAGCAATAATGATAATTTACAATCCAATTTTTCTCATCAACAACAACTACTTAATAACAATCTCGCTATTATTGACGCGTACATTAAATACGCTTGTAGTATTAGTAATTAAGAAATTGAGATTACCTGTGATAATGCTGTGTTTAATGATCATGAATGCACTTGATTAAACCAGGACATGCCAAATTCAAAATGTGATGAGACAACTGTTAACTGTTAATTGTTGTAGACGTTACGAAAAGATTTGTAGATGTTGATAAAGAAGACCCGAGTGAGGTCCCCTCATTACTTATTGATATTTATTTATTAAGTCATAAAAATCATAAATTATTTAAATATTCCTATTAATATATGATAATAAATAAGTTAAAATTACAAAAAAACCATAAACCTATTACCCATTAATTCTATAAACTATTATTATTATTATTATTATTATTATTATTATTATTACTATTATTATTATTATTAATACAAAAAAAAAGAGAAAGCCCCTATTATTATTAACAAATACTATAATTTAATTAAGCAACGATTAAATAAAGCATTGTTACAGCGATAACAGATAATGATGTAGCAACACTGTATAAATTATACACCGAGAGTTCCAGATCAAGATGTCCAGCTGAAGAAGGATTAGTTTCCTGAATTTCTTCTACTTTTGCAGAGGTAACTTTCTTGACCACCACGACAGTACTTGGTGGAATGTAAGTTGCATATGTTGTTAATTCTCCATCGGTCCCTTTTGAAGACGTAACAGTAGAGTACCCTGGGTGATATATTGTTGAAGTGGTGGTGTAGGTTGTGAATTGCGTTATGGTTGATTTTTTAGGGTTTGGAGCTAGTTGTGATTGGGACTTTGTAGGTGCTGCAGGTGTTGTTGATGGTTGTGTAATTATTTCATTCTCTTCTGTTGTGCTGACCACTGTTGGGCTATTTTTTTTTTTTTTTGCAATAAATTTAATTAATTTGTTGGAAAATAATGAATTTTTCTTTTAAAAACAAAAATCACTCACTCTGTTGTTTTACGTTCACATCTTGGATCATCAGCTTTTGTGCATGGTTCTCGTCCAGGTGGATATGACGTAGTAGTAGATTGAGAAACTAATTAATATAAACGTAAATATAAATATAAATATAAATATAAATATATTAATTGTGTAATTAATTGTATGAAAGGACTACCTGTTGATGATATAGAAGTAACACCAGTGTTAGGACTAGAACTAGGACCTGTAAAAAGAAAAATAATAAAATCATAAATAATATATTTTAACAAATTTATTCTCTTTTGAGCATATATATGTGTGTGTGTACCGGCATTTGTATCAGCATTAGTTCCAGTTGAGTTAGTAACAACTGAGCTATCGACAATTGGACTAACTGTATTAGTGGTAGTATCACTAGTAATACTAACAACTATATATTTATAATGTATATATTTATAGTTATAATTATATTTTTAATGAAATCTAAATCTATCTATCTCGAGATACAACTACCAATATACTCTGTTTATATATATGTGCTATTTCCCTTCTTAAAACTTACCAGTTGTTGTTGAATTAGACGTTGGTGCATTTGGATCAGGTGTTGGTGGTGCACTTGGGTTGGGTGCTGGTGCATTTGGACTAGGTGTTGGATTAGGTGTTGGTGTTGCATTTGGATCGGGTGTTGGTGTTGCATTTGGATCAGGTGTTGGTGTTGCATTTGGATCAGGTGTTGGTGTTGCATCTGGGTTGGGTGCTGGTGTTTGTGGTGCACTTGGAGCAGGTGGTGATGGATTTGGGTTGGGTGTTGCATCAGGTGTTGGTTCTATGAAATAAATAAATAATAAAACATCATTTTTTGATCCAAGAAATAAAGACGAAAAAACTGAATAAACAAATAATAATTACGAGGTGCTGGTGATGCTATAAAATAAATAAAGAGATATATTTATAAGAATCATTTTTTGATTTAAAAATAAAAACGAAAAAAGTTAACAAATAAAATATATAATTACGATTATCCTTTGGTGGTGGTGGTGCTATAAAATAAATATATAAACATCATTTTTTGATTCAAAAAACAAAAACGTAAAAAGTTAACAAATAAAATATATAATTACGATTATCCTTTGGTGGTGGTGGTGCTATAAAATAAATAAAGAAATATATAAATATCTTTTTTTTTTTTGATTCAAAAAAACAAAAACGAAAAGTTAACAAATAGAATATATAATTACGATTATCCTTTGGTGGTGGTGGTGGTGCTATAAAATAAATAGAGAAATATATAAACATCATTTTTTTTTGATTTTAAAAACAAAAACGAAAAAGTTAACAAATAAAATATGTAATTACGATTATCCTTTGGTGGTGGTGGTGCTATAAAATAAATATATAAACATCAATTTTTTTTTATTTTAAAAACAAAAACGAAAAAAGTTAACAAATAAAAATATATAATTACGATTATCCTTTGGTGGTGGGTTGTCTGGTGGTGGTGCTAAATCAAAAATAAATAATTTATTTAATTAATTAATTAAAAATCAATCTAGATAGTAAGTGTTGAATCTTAAATAAATAAATCAATTAGAATCAATCAAATGCGTAATATAAAATAAAGATAATTATAATTACCCGGAGTTTGTCTTTTTTGTAAATGTCCAATATTAATTGATTGAATTGGACTTGTGAACTCGACAATGAAAATAAAACTTATCAGAACTACTAAAAGTGCTATCAATGTTTTTGTGCTAGTTTTGTTCATTTTGTCCTTTGGTAAAATAATAATAATAATAATAGATAAAAATCGAATAAAGTTCAATGGTATATTATATGCGTTTGTTTTTTTTTGTAAAAATAAATAATTTTTTTCCCTTATATCATTAACAAAATTAAAAAAATTTAATGAAAAAAATTATTTATTAATTATTGCGAATTAAAAATTAATTGTATTTATATTTTCACGAAATCTTGTCCAACTTGTATATACCGAAGGGGGTTGAAAAAATCTTGTTTAGGAAATATTTAATTTTCGAAATATATTTTTAGAAGTAAGGAGGGCTTATGTTATGGTGCGCCAACCATGACAAAAGTCTACATTATTTGACATTTAAAATGAGGGTGGCTTTATTTTAAATATTTTTATCCCTGTTTTAAATGATTTAAAATTTATTTAAAATGTAAAATTTTTTATTTTAAATGTCACAAATATTACTTAAAATGGCATCACATGAATTGGATCACTTTTTCAAAAAAACATTACAAATTTAGCAATTAACATTTTAAATGAAAAACCTTTCATTTTAAATTGAAATACTAAAAAAATTCATGAATTTTTCCAAATTTATTAATCTATTTCTAATTGAAAAAAAAATATTAATAAAGAAATTATATTTCTTATTTTACAGATATCGCACTTCCCAATAAAAGAATACATCTTTCCATATTAATTGTTTTGTTATATTAATTGAATCATTAAGTTGTTGAATTGTCTTTTAATTTTGTAGCCAGTTAAAAAATATTGTAAACATAATAAAACTAGATTTTAATTTTGCAGTGATTTAAGCTATATTTCATTATACTAAAACAATTTTACACCTTAATTATTTTTTATTGCCTATTAATATTAAAATGAATGAACAACAAAGAAATTTTGAAAATTTTGCTGATGAAATAATTAGAATAGCTTCCTGTATTCTCCATGAGGGTGAAGATTTAAATTCATTGGAATTACAGTTGGAAAAAATTGAAACTTTGCATTCAATGTATGTCCATTTGGGGTTTGTAATATAATGTGGACCATAGATTAATTCAATTATCAAATTTAAAAGAAATGATTGAGTCTAGGATCAATCTTTTACAAAATGAGGCATCACAACCTCTTTTATATAGAGAAGAAAATGGAGGAAGACCAAAACTATTGATTAATGAAAATATTATTAGAATATTGCAACAAGAAGGACATACATGGATATGAATTGCAGATATATTTGGTGTTTCTTATAGAACAATTTTAAGAAGAAGAATTGAATTGAATTTGCCTAATGATTTAGCATACACTAATATATCAAATGACGATTTAGATAACGAAATCAGAAACATACAAAGAGAACAACCATTTTCTGGACAGATAATAATAGCAGGTGTATTATGTTCAAGAGGAATACGTGTTCATCGTCAAAGGCTACATGAGTCATTAAATCGTGTTGATGCTTGGGGAATGGTACAAAGATGGTCCAAGGCATGTTTATCAAGTTGCTGGCCCAAATGCACTTTGGCATATTGATGGAAATCACAAGCACTTAAAAACGATAAAATACAATCTTGCTCGTGGGAATAAAGATCTATTTTTTTTTGAAATTAGTTCAGTTTATGGTCTTTACCAGAACGAGGAATTGCTTATTTTGAGTGGAGTAGGTAAAATTTTTCGCCAACCGCTTCATAAATTAGTTCAGGAAATAGATTTTTACTAATTAGGTGGAAATTTGTTGTGCACGCAGGAATAGATGGTTATTCACAAATGATCACTTTTTGTAACTGCAGTAGTAACAATAAATCCATTACTGTTTTAACACAATTTCAAAAAGGAATAGAACAATTTGGTATTCCAAGTAGAGTAAGGGCAGATCATGGTGGTGAAAATGCTTTAGTAAAGCAATTTATGGAAAGATATAGAGGGTATGGATGTGGTAGTTTTATAGCAGGACGCTCAGTTCATAATCAACGCATTGAAAGGTTATGTGGTGATATAAATCGATGTGTTTTAAAGATATATAAAACTATTTTTCTATATTTAGAAGAAAATTTTGAATTAGATATTGATAATAATGTGTATTTATTTTGTTTGCATTTAACTTATTTGAATTGTATTAATAAAAGCCTTAAATTATTTTTGTAGATGGGTGGAATAATCATTCAGTTCGTACTAACATTTTCAGACTCCATTACAGTTATTTACATCTGGAATGATTGAATGTGGATATAGAGGAATGGAAGATTTTAATGTCAATGAACTGTATGGGATTGACTGGGAAGGGCCTATACCATCAAATTCAGATGATAATGCTGCTGCTGTGGTTGTTGAAGATCCTAGAAATGTTTTAAACCAAAATGAATATCATGAATTATTAAATTCAGTGGGTATAGATAGAGAAGATAATAATTATGGAATAAATGTTTATTTAGATGTAATAGCTAAAGTTAAAGAAATATTGAATAGAAGATATGTTTAGTTTATATTTTTTTTATTTTAAATTTGTAAGACTTAAATGGTTAACTAAATTTATTGCATTGAACTAAAATTTTAATGAAATGAATCAGAAAAAAAATATTTTAAACTTTATATATATATATATATATAAAAATAGAATTATCACTCTAAAAATAGTAATTTTAAAATAAACAGTTTCCAATTTTAAAAAATAGCCAGCAACCATATCTTATAAATTTATTTTAATTGTTATTCTTTTTTCTTTTTTTATTGTTGTTAAAATTGTCTGAAGTTTGATTAATAAACTGATTGAATTGACGATTATTAGTTAGATTTAAAGGATTATAACTGTAAGTATTGTAATTTTGGAGCCTAGAGAATGAGTTGTAATCTAAAGGTTGAGTAACATTAAACTGTGGTTCAACAAAGTTGTTGGATGGTTGTTGTGAAAAATTTAAGTTAACATTTGGAAAAAATTGTTGATGAGACACATTATATTGTGGATCATCAAAGATATTGCATGATTGTTGAAAACATAAATTAGAATTAGCTGATGATTGTGAATTGTCAAATGTATTAGGTAGTTGTTGTTGATGAGAAAAATTGGATTGTAAATTATCATTATTGCTTGTATATAAAGGTTGATGGTTTTGATTTTGAGGTATTGATGGATTCATTCCTTGAAAAATTGGACAATCATAATTGATTTTTATTATGCTGGATTCTGAAAATCCTTCATTATTTTCACATGCAATCACCAAACTTTCTTCAAAATTTTTTTTATCACCCTCAGATAATTCAAAATTTTAGCATAGAATCAACACACAGGAACAAGTGTTTGCCATTGGAATACGTCCTAACATTTCAATGAGTAAAGTGAATAATTTAAGGGTAGGGGGAATCATGTGACCAATTTGATAGTAAACGATGGCTCAAAATTTTTTTTCTAATAACAAAATTGATCTACATAAAAATATCCAAATAAATAATATTTAATATATATATATAGCGTGTAAAAAAAAAATATAACATGTATGTATCAATCTGAAAAACAAAACAATACAAATATCCGCTAAAGAATTTGAATTCTCACTTATTTTTAATAAATGCAGTTAAAATTGTTAATTGAGTTTTTTTTTTTGAGGAATAGCCTCATATTGCGAATTATTTTATTTAATAAAATTATAAGCTTTTATAAAAAAAAAACAAATGTGTGTATATGTAATTATAATTTTATCTAAATGACCAGCATTTTACAAATAATAATCCCAGGAATAAGAATAGACTAATTCTTCAGCACCTTCAGCAACATCTATTATTTTAGAATTTGTTATCCAAAATCCAGCACCAGATTTTTGCAATGTAACTATTTCTATTATTATTTTTTTACTTATTAATTCATCAAGTAAGTGATTTGCTTGTCTTGAATTTCTAATTGTTCTATTAAAATTTTCATCATAAATTGAAACTGAATTCAATTTTTTATCAATTAGTTTTTTATTTTTCAATTGTAGAAAAATTCCAATTATATCATCACGAACAATTATATTATCTCCTTCAAGTTCTTCAATTATCTTTCTTACAATATTAATCATTCTAATTGCATCTGTAGTTACATTACTCAAATTAGGATTATCAATAAATTTACGTTGACAATTACCACAATTACCACAGGGAGAAGATGTTGTATCTGTGGACCATGCATAATATGCAAGTAATGTTTGCTGCATACATTTATATTTTTCTTCACAAAAAAACATTACTTCACGAAGATTTTGAAGGCTTTGTTCAAGGTGAACTTTCCTTTCAGTATTTTCATCTTCTCCAGCATCTCTTGATTCACAAATGATCCCATAAAGTAATTTAAATTCACTTCTTGAAAATAAAATAATACTTTTTGACAGTGAACCATCCCTTCCAGCTCTTCCACTTTCTTGGATATACTGACCAATGCTTAAAGGAAAATTGAAATGGATAATAAGGTATACATCCAAAGTATTTATACCCATACCAAATGCATTGGTTGCAACAATTATTTTTGTAATTCCAGTTTTCCATTTCATCAATTTATTATGTTTTTCTTCTCCTGATAATTTACCATGATAAAAATCAATACTAAAATTTGTGATTTTAAGAGTTAAATAATTTTTTAGGTCTTCACAAATTTTAGGAGATGCACAATATATCATGCATCTCCCAACAGGATTATTATTTATTTCCTCAACAACCTGGTTATAACTATCTTCATTTCTTGATTTCTTTTTTTCTTTCACTTCCAAAAAAATGTGAGGATGGGAAAATGATAATGATCTGATCACTGTAAGATTATTCCATTCTATTTTCATTTTTTCACACAATATATGAGCATCTTTTTCTGAGATTGTTGCACTAACCATCATTATTGAAGAATTAGGAAAATCTTTTTTGAGTATCTCTGCAATACCATTCCAAGCATTACGAAAATATTGGTGCTCCAATACACAATGAGATTCATCAATGACAAATTGAACTCTTGAAGTCACTGATATCCTTTTTAACATGTTTTGAAAGCTTTTATTTGCTACAAATTTTTCTGGAGTCAAGTAAATGATTTGCACCAATTTTGATGCAATTTCACTAAATACTTGCTCTTGATATGATGGGGGTTTATCTGAAGCTGCATATAGACCTGCAGATGGAATTCCAGAACAAACTAACTCAATCACTTGATCTTCAATCAAAGCCTTTAAAGGACTAAGTATTATTGTAAGTAAAGATCCAATTGAGTAACATAATGTTTTTCCACTTCCAGTTGGTAGTAATACTAAAGTATCTTTATTGTTAACAAAACTTTCTATAGCTTCTAGTTGACCCCAACGAAAGTTTTGATACTTATAAATTATTTGGAGAGCTAAATGAGATGGAGGAATTGTTGATTTTGTAATGATGAAATTTTTATTTAAAATTCTATCATATTGTTGTTGTGAGAAATAGAAATAACAAACTTTACATAAGCCATTTGCACTATATTTAGGAAAAGAAAGACAATTTTGGCATTTGATCAGAGATTTAAAGTTATAAATGTATTCATGAAATGAAGGGAGAAACTCATTGTTGTTTAATTTTTCTTGTACTTTAAGTCCATATGGAATTAAATCTTGATTAAAGTTGAATCCAGTCATATCATATTTCAACTGATCCAATTGATCATGTTTTTTTGAATTTCTTTCATTTATATTATTTACATTTTCTTCTCTTTTAACATCACGTTGTTCACATATTTTTTCTATATTTTTTAAATCTTGTATAGAAAAAGACCCAATTTCACCTAATGAATTGCGCATTTGAGTCCAAGTCTCAAGTTATTATGTAAAAGGGCCATGGAATGCCTTGCAACAAATGATTTTGGATAATCAATTTTTTTATCAAGAAAACATAACTTGGTACGATTCATAGCTTCATTATGGCAAGTACGTGTTTTGGTGATAAGTGATTGACCCTTTGGTTTTTTGATAATGTCTTGGATCATTTTTTTGAAAATTCCTCTTTCTATTTCAGAATAATGAATTAAGTTTTCACCTTGCAATTCTATTTCTGGATTTTTGCTTTTCCAACAAACTTCTTCCCAACAATTATCATGCTTGTCACACAAATGTTCAAACAAAATTTCAGTTTGCATATAATGTAAATTATCATCATCAGGAGGTAGAGGTAATGTTTTCTTCTCTTCAATAGATTTTTCATCATAATTATCTTTTTGATTACTTGCTGTATATACACATGCAGTATAATAATCAAGAATGCATTTTTCAAAATTTTCCCATTTTTTATACTTACCATTATTTATCTTATTTCTAATTGTTTTTGTCTTATGCTTTAAGTCAGTAAAAATTTGGTTTACAATATTATATTTTGATAAGGTTTTATTGCTATCTAAATCACCATCAATGGCAATATCAAGCAGAAGATTATTTTCTCTGAAAATTGGAGTGATTTCTTCTAAAATATCTATCAAAATTTGATGTTCCATTTGGCGTGATGATTGATCAAAATTACCTTCATGGGTTGTTATATTTTTTCCTTCCTTTGTTATTGTGCGAGATTTTTCACAAATTGAAAATGCAATTACTGGCTTATAACGTGAAGTTTCTATATAACCATCATAAATAAGCTCTCCACTGGCTTGTGGTGCATTTCGAACATGGGACCAGGAAACATCAAATGAACAAGGTATGTTTTTTTTCCCCTCTTCTTTTGATTTTTCAATTACTTTGTTCAAAGCTGATGATATTACTTCTCTTGCCATATTTTTAATTGGATCATAATAATCCCCTTGGTACTGAAAATATGACTTTGAGCAAGATTGAGAAGTAATTCCCATAAATGCCAATCCAGTTTCCAACTCTCTTCTATTTAATCCAGCTATTAATCCTGTTGCAGCTAAAGTTTTAGAGTAACTCATGCAATCTGGTTCGTTGGTAAACTCAGTTGAATACTTACATATTCTACAATAAATTGCAACATTCAAATAAAGACCCCAGGCCTTGACTTCCCATCTTTTGCAGCTTACCTTGGATTCTCCACATTGCTTACAAGGAAATGTTAGTAACAATTTCAAATAATTCTCAGTGGACATAAATATAGTTGAACCTAAATTATTATCATCAATTATCTTATTAACAGTATTTTCCAATTCTTCTTTACTTTCCAGATTATTTGTGTTATTATTATTATCATCTTCTTCTACTTTATCCCTTTCACTACGTGTTGACTCTAGTTTATTTTTTATTTTTTTTATTTGACGTCTTGCTTGATATAACTTGAGTACATTTCCATTGTTAGATACCAAAAGAGCTTGAGTACTTTTAGGAGACAATTGTAAGCCCTTAGAATTAACATGAACTCCTTTTTGAACATTTTTTTCTAATGCAGTATTACTAATCTCATTCCCTTTACGTTTCATAGCTTTCGTTGCTCTTTCATTTGTTTTTTTGGCTGCAAGTATTTTTGGATTAGTATCTTCATCTAATCAACTGGTGCAGGAAAATTTATTAAGGATGAATATTTTTCAATTACTTTTGTATGCAAATAGATAACATTATCTGCATTGTCAAATCCTAATAATGATGGTATAGAGATTTTTCCTTTAACTTCTAATTCATCTTTCAATGTTGTAAACATATAATCATAATGTTTTGTTTCTTTCAAATTAGTGAATGAGTGATCAGCTTCAAAATTATCAAGTGTATACTGCAGCTCTATGTCATTTTTTACATTAATTGATAATCAAATGAACTTATTTTTTTTTGTTAAAATTGAATAACCAGGAAGCAAGCCCGATCATAATAAGGAGGAAATCCTGAAAGTATCTCGTAAACCACAATGGAACCCATACTTTGTCTTCACTCTCTAAATCAGGATCCATGTCTTTAGGGGTTTTTAGCCATAATATGTATGAACTGTTTAAATCTTGATGTACTTCCATTGCATTCAATTGATATGAATCATCACAAATGAAAACAGATTGATTTTGTCGAAAGAACAATTTATAATTTTCTGTTTGTTGTTTATACCAATATTTATTTGCCATTTTTAAATGCTAAATAAATAAAATTTTATTAACAAAATTGGAATTTTATTACATTATATTATAACTATATTCTTTTTACATATATATATATATAAACATAAGAAATTAGAAAATTCCAAGTAAAGAATGTTATATTTCTCCAAGTAATACTGAGAAGTAAGCAGCTTTTACTAAGTAAATTAAACTTTACTAAGTAGTAAGTAACTTTAAACTAGTAATAATTCGGAGTGAATAACTTATATTAATGGAATAATACCTTTTACTATGGGATTAGTATGGTTTTTTGAAGAAATTAAAGGTTTTTACTAAATTATTTTGCTTGAAATTTTGCAAGAAATTAAAGGGGTTTATAATCTACATTCACAAAAATTTTGAACTGATTTGGACGCGTTTCGCGTGATTTTACTATGTAACTTGTACAATTCAAAATTTTGAGCCGCCGATCTACATATAAATTGACACGTGATTCCCCCTACCCTTAATCATAATAAGAGAGCATATAAATTGATTATTTTTATTGTGGATTAAATGAGATATCAATGATTTTGATGAATGGTGGTGATAAAGGAAAAATTATTGAATTTATATATGATATTAAAATCACTTATCAGGTTGCTGATTTTATATGTGCATATATATTGCATTTATTGTGGTTATAATTATAAATACACAATATTAATTGATTTTTTTATTAAATAGCTATTGTTGAATTTGTACATAATATTAAAATTATCTATCAGGATATATATATACTATATGTTAAATCATGAAAACGTCATTCTTATACAGTCAACCCCCTCTAAGTGCACCCCCTCTAAGTGCATGCTCTCACTCATTCCCAAGCTTGGTAATTAGAGATAAGTGCACACCCCCTCTCCCCTGCACTGCACGGTCATTTTCCATTCCCAACTATATAAAACTCCCTCTCTAAGTGCACGCCCGTGACTTTCACGTGATCATCGTCCAATAAAAATTGTGCGACGTTATAAATTAAATAATTTTTCTTTGTTTCCTTTGTTGTGTTAAAAAAAAAAAATGTATAAAGAATTGATTTTTGTAAGAGATGATAAAGAATTAAAATTTTATACTTAGTAAAAGATGATAAAGAATATAAAAGAATTAAATTTATACTTAGTAAATGATGATAATGAATAAAGAATTAAATTTATTATTAGCAAGAGATAAAGAATTATTTTGTAACAGGCGGGTAAAGAATTGTTCATTTTTATTAAGTGACAAGAAACTAAAGAATTCTTTTTTGTTTTTAATAGATATAAAGGTTATTGTTATTAGAACAAAGAACAAAGAAAACAAGTAGAGAAGCTTATGCAGTCAAAATTATCATAAATAAGACATGAATCAAGAAATTTATTTAATAACTAAACTCTTGTAATAAATTTTAAAAAATAAAACTTCCATTTATAACTTAACCTATATATTCTTACGTATCCAACCATCTAATTTTTACACTCACACTTATCTCATTAAAATCTTTTATTCCTTTATTACTTTTAAATAAAAATGCCTCCAAAGAGTAAAATAACTTTATCTAATTCTCAAAAATATGAATTTTGTTTATTTGCAAACTCTAATAATAAAATGACCAGAAAAGAATATGTTGGTTGGATTGAACAAAAATGGGGAATTAAAGTGGTTGAAACAACTATAACAAGAATTCTGCAAAAAAAAGAAGAAATACTTAATACTGAAGTTACTAATCCAGATACCAAAAGACACAAAAATCTAACAGTTCCTGAACTTGAACTTGCTCTTAAGGAATTTATTTTAATTTATCAAAACAGAGTAATCTTAAACGATGCTATTTTAATTGAAAAAGCCAAGGAAATAGCAAATGGATTGGGGGTACCAGAAGAAACATTGGCTTTCTCTTCTGGATGGCTCCATAGGTTTAAAAAACGTAATGGAATTCAAGTACGAAAGCTTCAAGGAGAGGCATCATCAGCTGATCTAAATGCAATTACTGAAGCCTTACCATTATTAAAAAATATGTGTAGTAATTATCCACCTGAAAGAATATACAACATGGATGAAACAGGACTTTTTTATAGATTAGAACCAGATAGAACATTAGCCACACAAAGACTTTCTGGACGTAAAAAGAATAAAGAAAGACT